AATCCATTCTCAGGCGCATCTCCTTGTTGTCACCACTAGCATCAATATGCCGGCAATCACTCCAACGTGTGTCCTGCCTCAAGCCCCACAAAACTTTGTAGGTTTCTTTTAGACAACACCCTAAGCTCTTTACCGTTGAAATCGACCTGCCTCCTATCGCGCCAAACATAAGGCATGATATCCGTGCTTAGGGGTCACCTGTTCCTGCCCGTCCTAACAGGCTAGCCTCGGGCAAACCAAAAGTGAATAAGACGGTTAGAATATGTGCTCGAAGGCGGAATAATCTGCCCGTTTGAGAGCCTATGAGCATCACTATTCTGCATAGAGCTGAAGCAATCGCTGACTGGCGATCCTGCAGTGATTACAGGACACTCAACGATTTTACTGTCCCTGATAGATGCTTAATTCCGCATATACATGACCTAAGTTCAGCATTAATAAAACGTTAGTCTTTGGCTAGGTAGATTTCGTGCCTCTTTACGGTCAGATACATGTAGCACCAGACGATGTCTATCACGTCGTTTGACCTGTTCGAGTGCCACGGAATTCCGTTTAGCCTCGTTACTCCCGTCCAAACGTTTCGGTATTTCATTCATTGGGTAACACGAGAACTCGAATGTCCATCACAAGTTCTTTTGACAATGAATAGTCCCGTCACGTTGAGTCACACTTCAAGCGACTGACAGTTATGAACTCGGCTAGCGCAGTATCGAACTTTTTGACTACGCTCTATCTCACATTTGAACTGAGCGGTCGCCAGCCATAATACAGGTGCTGGGGGACTGCCGTTCATCTAGTCCTTTTAACAAATTTCCCCGATTCTTTGGCCTTTTCAACTACGTTTAACGTTTCCTCTCTAGCTACGCGAGTGTTGTGCAGCCAATGAACAAAACATTTTTCATCTACCGGACAACACTAGAGTGAATTTCGAAAAGTTCATAGCAGCTATCAAACGAATTTCTCCTCAGTAACCCAAAGCTAGTTAGAATTTGCTTTGTAAACACAGAGGAATCAGGGAATTCTTTTCAGTTATCTTCAGTTAATTGAGTGGATTTCCTTGAAATCAGCGAAAACTAGTCAGAACGGTGAGGTGCGAAAGACAGTAGGTTTGCAAAGGTTCAACACCAACCAGTTATCGATTATTTTTTTTCGCTCGGTTGCTATCGCCTATGGGTGTGGGAGCAGTTCCCCAGGAGACGGTTCCATGGATGGTCGCATTACTTTACTCGAACTGCTTGCTATGCCTACATTGATTCTTACCATCTACTTTCCGTATTACTTTTAAATAAGTGAACACCGCAAAACTTCTCTGGGATCTGCGTTGTGAAATACAAAAAAAATATTTTCACCACCACCCTAGTAGGTTGCACACAATGATCAGACAACGCATTTGGTATGTCTCGTACTGGCGATAAATATACCATCTAGTTATTTATTTCGAAGAAAGTAGAAGCAACGATTAAAATTCACGCACAATAATATGCCTCGACGGGGAGTCGAACCCCGGTCCACGAATTTCCGGTCCGCGGCTCTATCACCTGAGCTACCGAGGGCTGACGATTAGGTGCGCAAATTTCAACATATGTCTTCTGCTTGGTGCGCGACGTGTTGCCAATAAGCTCACAGTACCTGTCCTGATGTTGCAGATTGGCTCACTCACCCGTCACTTCCCAATAGACCGAACTTCCTGTCCTTCAGACGTCCAATGGGCGATGGTAGATTAATGGTGGATGTTTGTGAGTAGTGTAAAGTTCGAAGAAAGTGGAAGTAGACGGGTGAGTGAGCCAATCTGCAACATCAGGACAGGTACTGTGAGCTTATTGGCAACACGTCGCGCACTGAGCAGAAGACATGTGTTAAAATTTGCGCACCTAATCGTCAGCCCTCGGTAGCTCAGGTGGTAGAGCAACGGACCGGAAATTCGTGGACCGGGGTTCGACTCCCCGTCGAGGCATATTATTGTGCGTGAATTTTAATCGTGGCTTCTACTTTCTTCGAACTTTACACTACTCACAAACATCCACCATTAGTTATTTATTTATTTAATAGAACCATATTACATTGTTTAGACCGTTGTATGGCCTTTATTCTCCTCTGTGTTAGTACTTATTTGTTCCCCAGCCTGTGGGAACGATCATCTCCTCACTTCTGCGGGCAGCAGTGAGGTGTGCCTTTTTCTATACATGCAAACCGACCCCAGTGAAGTTACTTGTCATTGATGCATGCCTCATAAATGTATTTGTGAGGCCTTTTCAAAATGACCAGGCGTCCAAGCCTTCTCTCAGCAGAAATAATGCATTCACTCACGATTCCCACCTGCGCTCATCCCGAATTGTTTGCGAAGCGCCCGTTGTATGTTTAATGGCATCCCGAGACGTACCGCGGGATAAACTAGGTGAGTGATCTCGAATGACCGATGGGTTGAATTCGAGCAATTTCCTGGTCGCATCTTCCTCCTATGCTGGCAAAGTATTCACTTGCATTACGCGGTCTGTCTGCTGCACCATCCCATATGAGCTAATTGGTTTGTAACCGCGAAACCAAGCAACCAACAGCCGTTTGCCTCACAAGGTTGCGCGGTGACTAGCGAAAATGTTCGAGCCGGTACACAAACTCTTGACCACGTATTGCCTAAAGGACGCTTTTGAATTAGTCGAGACACTGGAACACGCGTCGCTGGGTGCGGAGCACATGTACTCAATAGACGTCGACTCCCAGTTCACAAACGTGCCTCTACTTGAGACGGTTGACAATTTTTGTGATTTCATCACGAGTCGAAACATGTCTGTTGGTCTGCCCCTGGAGTAATTAAGGAATATGATCATATTACGCAAGGAAAACATACGGTTCGAGTTTGAGGAGACTGCTTATAAACAGACCGACGGCGTCGACATGGGCAACCCTCTGGGATCAGTATTAGCAGACATCTTTCTCGGCTTGATAGAAAGGCAAGTTACTGCCAGAATTGGGGAAACTAAGTTGTACAAGCTGTATGTGGATGACATCGTCCTCTTCACCAGCAACGAACATTTTGCGCGGCTGTTGACAGTTCTGAATTCAATTCATCCAAATCTATCGGTGTCCGATGAGTTGGAGCAACACGATAGCCTGCCATTTTTGAATATATAAAGCGACGAGCCGATGGTACACTTCAGCGCACGGTTCATCGCAAGGCAACTTGGAGCGGGCAGTATCACCACTTTTCCAGCTTTGCCTTGGTCGCATACAAACGTGGACTAGGGAAAACGCTCTTCTAGAGAGCCAGACGAATATGCAGCCCCGAAATGTTGCGAGCTAAAGAATAACTTTTGTACAGAAATTTGGTGTCAAATGGGTATCCTAAGAAGATCATTCAGATCCAGAGCAGGCCTCCCAAAGAGAAAATACCGGTGTTAACTGCAGAGAAATAGAATGTTTATTTGTTCTTGTCGTTCAAAGGAGACCATGTAACAAATGATATCGGACATAAACTTCGGGCCGCCCTGACGTGCAGCTACGCGACCGCCCAGTAGCGACTCATACATACAACGCGAAGTTTTGTAATTCATGACCGTCAGAGCAACTCATCAGTCAGTTCGGCCTCTCACGTTGTTTACCAGTTCACTTGCGGTTGCAGTGACATTTACATAGGCAGGACTGACCGTCAGTTAGCTCAGAGGGTAGCTGAACATGTGCCCAGGTGGTTGGAACAATTGTTGACGCAACAAAACGGAGTGGATCCGGCGATGAACCGGAGCCCAGTATCATCTATCACTAAGCAGATCTTGACAACTCGACATCGGGTAAACCTGGAGACTGCGTTCATGGTGTTATTACGCGACAACAATCCGATAATTTTGACAATTGGTGTGGCTTTGCTAATTAGGGCTTATCAACCTGTGTTGTGTGTACAGAAACTATTGACACAATCAATTAGGTTACCGTGGTCTTGACTTTGACATTTTGATTGGTGTGCCAATATTTCCCTGTATATAACTGTCTAAGTATTCTGCTTGTATTGTGTTTGCGACTGATGTGAACAATCGAAATGTTGACATATCGCAACTTATGTCTTCTCACTGCTCTGACTAAATGGCTGAACAGAACTCACTGTTTGCCGCTTGAATACATATGTTATAGTCGGGAAGCTTCCGAATTCACAATATTTGTATGCCCATTACAAAACCGTAGCTTCGTGTACCTTCAGAAAGTATGAATGTGACGCGCTTTGTCAGAAGCTTGCTATCTGTGGTGGGTCAGCTGGACCTGCGTTCGGATCTGTCATGTTGTTTGTTCCCCTAGAGCAATTATGACCGGTTCTTAGTTGTTCATAGGAAAGGTTGGAATGCAGGAAATATGTTAGAATTCTTTTATCCTGCCCAGGCGGTGGATTTGGTTGCATACCCACTGCATCCATTTAGAGCACGATTTGCGAAGCGCCTTATTGCCAATGCACCTAAATTCTTATCCGTAACGCGAACGATCGGTCATTTACCGACAAGTTCCCAGGGGATTGGACCGGCATAACTCTTGCAAACCATACGGTAAGCAATTCCTTCTATTTGCGTGACAATTGTTGGAATCAATATTGGATAGTCAGTCACTCTATCCACGGGGGGCTATCGCTTTTAATGTGTTGCTGGCATCAATATTGGTAACATCGCCTTCAGTCGGTTTGGTGCTGTGCTGTGCTTTTGTGTGTCTGTATAACTCGGCTCTCGATGGCCAACAAAATCGCATTAGAATTGCACGATCTCGTTTGGACAATAGTTCAGACAACAGGTTGAACTGGACGGATGAAACGCAAAGGATGCAGGGAAGAATGTGATAGGAAAGGGATTTGAAACGGGGCATACATAAGTTCTTTATGGAAGAAGTGTTCATATAAATACGCGATGCAGTACTCATGCAAAGAAGCCCCACATGAAGGCGACCAAACTGAGTAATAGAAGTGCGGCGACCTCGTTGACCAAAATTAGCTGCGGCTTTTCTTCGATGCTTATGCACAACTCTTCAATCACCGTTGTTTGGTCACTTGAGGAAGTGGATTCAATGCCGCAGATCCAAAACACTGCGTGCAGGTACCAAGGCCTTGGTTTCACCGAACCTTCGGATTCTGTGTCATCTGTTTTCATGGAAAGGATGGATTATAGCAGGGGGATTGTGTTAGTTGTCATTTGATTGTTGACATCAAGTCAAGAATGTGTTTTATGCGCGCACGAAAGGTGCATATTTAGTTGTCACACACACCACGGACAGGGATAACTATTGAAATAGCTTGCAACCTAAGGGTGGATACGAAATCAGTCTTTGAAAACAGAGTTGACAGCTCAAGTATCACTGGAGTAAGTTACTAATCAGTACTTGAATAACAATATCTATCGATCAAAAATCGTGCCAGGCAAGGAAGTACTGATGCACCATAGGCTGTTGTGCGGGCGGATCTAGTCTTTCAGGTCTGTCTGGCCGAGGAAGTTATTACCCATTCGGACAATGCCCTGTGGTGGAGAGTAACATGCAGTGAGAAAACGCTGGACAAAAATGAGTTGCAAAAGGATGCCTGAGACGTGTAACATGGAATGAGAGTCTCCCAACTCTACTGAAGCTTCTGCTCACGTCGAGGGATCACGCAAGTCTAGTGCTTGATATCGCTCCCAAGTACTTCGCTGGCGTGGTAGAAGTCAAATCTTCACCAAGTATTAACGAAAATATCAAAATTTAAGCATGTCCTTTGTCGCTGTTCAAAGGACATAGCAACAGCATATTCTGACGTAGTGCCCGTAACTGCATAGTTGATGAAGGTTTTGATTTCTTCCATGTCAATAAATTACCTGGGAGCCGTGGGCTTACGTGGTCTTTTCACGTGCGAAAAATATTCAATAAAGTTAGATGACGCTGATACTATGTTACACGTCTCAGGCTGCCTTCTGTATGCAAAATTTTATCCAGCGCTTTTCATTCCACGTATGTTAACCTATATATATATATATATATATATATATATATGTATATATATATATATATGTATATGGTTGGCGGCATCCGGTTTCGGATTTGCCTGTCACTGTGGCCAGCCACAGGACGCCTGCGCCTACAGAGGGACCATGGATGGCTTGCGCTGTACCACCCACAGCTCCATCCACACACCCCATATCCAGTGTAAACCCGAAGGAATAAGACCGGGAGGCATGTGGATGGGAGCCACGTTTCATCAACGGAGCCGGCCCACACTCCTTCACAGGCAAACACAAGCACGCTGTATTTGGGAATCAATCGCACACAAGGCGGTGGCTGGACCGTAGTCCGCTCCACACTGAGTGCATGGAACCACTCTTTGAGCCTAGCACGACCACAAGGACCGTGCACCCCGTCCCCTCCAGCAACGACCAACTGTCTCCTAGAGCCAGTATGGACGAGGTAGTGGGTAATAGACAGGTAGGCACCTTGTCAACATGCACATCAAGCGCAGCCACACCGGGGATGTCAAACAACAGCCAATCACTTGAAATGACATTATCAAATAAAATATATCTGTTAAAGAATACGGCTATGCAGACATAACTCTTCCCTAAATTAGCATATGATGTAAGTTGGTTAGCAACGAATCCGCGATAAGTACAAAATGTCCAGAAGTTACTCAAAAAATGCTACAAACGCAATAAAGTTAACAAAGATAACCACAATTAGCGTAAGCAACGTGGCCAGTTAATAGAAGATTACTCAGGTAGGCAGAACAAACCAAATAAAGTGGAAGGAAATTTATCCAGCTTAAAAAGACCTAGTTTAAGTGTAAGTTGGTTTAGCCCAACTGCGGTGAAGTAGCATCATGAATGCAACATCAGCCTCAGCATGGAGCAGGGTATTTGTTTAAAAACACAACTGTGTCATCGGACTCTGTTGCATCTCGTGAAATATTCATGCAGGCTGTCTGAACTTCTGTGTTTTCAGACTCGGTTGAGGCCTAAGTTTCAGCGTTAGTTTCAGCTTATCAACTTGCTTAATGCACCGATTTATGACTAGAGATTCTAAACGTGACTACAGGACTGTCACTATAATACCGCAACTTAAAATGATCTCAGAGTGTGACCATGCAACAAGATATGGAAAGCTGCCCAGTTATCTAGCAATCGAAAACCATAGTAATGTAGAGTGAGCTGCTGCATTAACATCATTTTCAAATTAGTGCAGTATGATTTATTAGCAACAGCCGCTCTCGTCCAGCATATTTCATCTTTGCATTTATACTGCAACTCTCACCTTGCAGCATATCTGTGTACGCATGGATCTGCGATGTGTTATCCAACTGACCATCAATACTTCCGTTTGAATCAGTCATCTCTTCGAGCATTGTTGCTTGTTTCGTTTCTTGTATACTTCCATGCTTCGTTGGGTTTCGGTTCCAAAATGTCAGACCTTCCGTCTGTGGAGAAGGAAATACACGAATTTTACGATGGAGGAAAAAACGTTAACAAACTTCACAAGTATTGTTATCCTACCAGAAGATTTGTTAGGCTTGGGAACGTAAACGTTTTTTCTCTCGAAAAATACGACCGGCTCCTTTTATTCATGATCTTTTTCAAACTCAGTTTCATACGTGGGTCCGTCATAATTTCGTCTTGCCAACGTAATGACCAATCTAGTGCCATTTTATGTCTTCGAATTACTAGTTTTAACCGCAATGAATGCCATCTGAAACGTCACCCCGATCCGTAGCCGGTGATACCTTGTAGTTAGCCACATTCCACAGCCAACAGGGCATACAACGGAGGTGAAGAGGATGTTTGCATATTTGCACCGTTTTTATTGTACTTTAGACTGCACCTCCGCATCTATCCAAGGGTAGCATACCTATTCGCTGAGAACAAAGCACATTCTAATTCCTAACCGTTGATCGGTAAGGTGGTCTAATCTTTCTTATGATATCCGAAGACGCCTCTATAGAGATAGTCAATTATTAGGCATACTTTCGGTTGCAATATCCTTTATTTACGAGGCTACGAGTAAGTACATTGTTCTTCTTCACAATAGAAGAAGTGAGAGACCATTCGGTTGTCGATGATTACGAGTTTTGTGACCGATCTCCGAATGCTCGTTGGAGTTGGATTTCCTCACGCCATTCAGTCAGGAAACGTTTGGCTGGTAATATACAAGCCTGGGAGAGTTTGTATATGGTCAACTCCGATAATGGTATCATAATCGCACATCCCAAGATTAATAACTACCTGGAATTGGCCTTTGGTAAGTTCCACCTGTGGTTTGTAGTCGCTATCAAAGTAAATCTTCTCACCATGGACTTGTGGATCCGATATCAGAATTTGAGTGGTGATAAGAGGCCACAACTACCAGTTGCTCAATCGAGGACCTGTGAAGGTTTGCTGAGAAATAACTTCTTCAGCACTGCCCCCCGGTATGCACTTGCCAGTTTTACCTCCGTGCGTCGCCGGTTCTCTTGAAAGTCGGACCACGCAGACCAAGCGTGTCACGTTTTCAAAGCTGATCTGCAATTTTGCCGAATACAACTTTAGAAACAACGTACCGTACCGTATGAGGTAAACTCCACGGTTTAACTTTATAAACCGCTTTTTATTTTGGTTTACTATACTTGCAACGACCTAGAGATTTTCCCGTACGGTCGTCATGTGAAGTGCAAAATATTGCAACTTATAGCTTCGTCTTGTACTCTGGATAATTAGGCGTTTCGTATGTGGCATGCTGACTACTTTTGTTTATGTATAAACACACACACACATCCAAAAGTGACTCGAAGCCTGCCCCAACGCTCCAAGAACATTCTTTCTTAGCTTCCCCTGGGTAACTTTTCTTGGGTGCTCAGCGGCCTAGCGAGATTGCACCTTACATCAATAAAAGCACACCTCATTTATTTTTAGTCAATTTTTTCCAAAGAGATGTTTGGTTGTATGAATATAGCATCAAAACCTCGATTGCGTCATATACTTGATGAGTACTGGATGTTTGATAAGTTGGAAACTATTGCTTTGTCTATTTCACCTTCACAGAGCACGGTGCGACATGAAGATTAGGCTTAACTCTCCTCCGATCTCGTGATCCCTGGCTGACCAAGTGTAATAGTGAATCGGTTTAGCTAGTTGAATAGCGATATACCTGCTACGAAGAAATATTCGGAAAGGTGTTCGCTCTCTCCAAAAGGTCTTGCATATCGTTGTAATGCGGATGCAGCGGGACACTGGTCTCTGACTACTGCTATTTAGATGGGCGAAGTACTAGGATTCTTTGGATGCTATCCTCAGCGATACATTATCCTAATCTACGCGGTTCACTAATTGGATAATGCTGTGTTTATATACACGACATGCATTTATCACTTGGTCTTTACTTGTCGGAGTGATCTAAGCCACAGAATTTGCGTGATTTGCTCGCCTACATACGCGCTTTGCGTTCATTGACCAATCTTAGTTAGATCAGCCGTACGTTGATCTGTGAATAACATGCAAAGATTCCAGTACGATCACTAGTGTATTCGATGGAAGCGATATGTGTCATCATCAATAACCGATGCGATTGCGTCATAAGTTGACCACTTTAGACTACAGTGTTGCGTTATCTCATAATCGGTTACCCCAGGGCACAAGCACTTTGAAAACGGTTTACTCTGTAAGCACAAATTTACGACACACATATGGCGACCGAATCCAGAGGATGAACCTCGTGTAGCACAATCTAGTAACAAGGAGGAGCAATCGAAGCTCACCTCATTGATCATCCATTCATTGTGAGACGGTCGAGACTAACGTGATTCGCATTATTACTAGTGAGTAGATGGATTTAGTCTATCGTAATTAGATTACAAGCAGCATGACCTTACTAGGTAACATTCCACCTGAAGTTGTTAATTTTTATGTGCTCAAGCCGTGATTGGGGAATTATGTGATGCACCTCAAGATCGTTCATTTGGACTGAACAGGCTCCCATGGCGCTGCGGCATGATCGCTCACACATCTGTGCATTTGAACTTTGTTCTAAGCTAGGCTATGAGGAAAATACACGTTTATTTTAGAGCATTAGTTCTTGGACATTCCGAAATTATGTTCAAGCTTATCCAAAGCTACATGGGTGAGATTAAAACCAAAGCCAGTTCTCGAGAATATGCGAAGCTAGGCGTAATTATGCCTCAAGAGACCTGGCTCTATGAGGATGCGGACGACACAGTTGTAGCGGTCGTGGGATTCATTTGCCATCGTGCCCACCAGAAATGTACATACCCAACCGTGGCGGAGAAGTTATTACTTATACCAATTCATCGTGGTGCACGTCACCAAAATGTATGTTTATCTTTTCTTCGTCACGTATTAATTGTTTAATTTTGAAATGTAAGCCAAGATGCTTAAGCGGCTACCAATCGATTTTACTGGCAAATATCTACTTTTCCCCTAGCTGCCCCACTTCCGAAGCAGTGGAATTTTACGACCAATTCACTTCAATTGTCATCGACCACACTGCTTATTCTCTCTGCATTTTTGCTGGCAGTTCCATCAGCTTTGACACTACTTTTCCCCTGATCTTGGGTTACAAAATGTTGTAAACTCTCCCACTAGACTTGAAGTAAGCCTAGATATGCTATTTGTAAATACTGCGAGGTTGTTTTGTTGTGCGTAATCAGGCGTCGATAGGTAGCTCTGATCACTCAAAAGTTAACTCATCACCTGCCGTATGCAACAAAATAAATCACATGGAGCTCACTCGCTGTAAAGATCGTAAGCTTAGAAGAAGAAAGTGTTCACCTCAAAACATATATCGACTACGAGAAATGATTGCATCTACAGACTTTAATATTTTCTTTGACAGCGATTTATCTACCTGCTGTGACCAGTTAACGAGCTATCTCAACTTCTGTTTTGATACCCGTTGGCTATTGAAAAGGATTTATATCCGTGCTGATCGGTTTTCTTCTCCGTGTCTAAGACGTCTGCGTGGCCGCAAAGAGAAAGCGTTACTGCAGAAAGACCACGTGGCAATGGAGTCTGTTTCTGTTTCTATCAGTTAGAGTCGAGTCATCCAAACTATCTATATTTCAAGACCATTCTTGGCAATAATAGCTGCCGAGAGGCCTGGCGGATGCTTAAACAACTTAGTGGTTTCTCTCACCGGGAGTTAGATACATACGTGGACCTTGAAGATTTAAATCAAATATCTTGTTGTTTCAGTGCCAAAGAGTGGACAGTCCCACCTCTCTATCTGCCACTGACAAGAATACAGTACTAAATCATCTGCTGAGGCTAAATTCTAACAAAGGAAGTGGCCCAGACGGATTATCTCCCCTTGTCCTCAAAGTTTGTGCCGACTTCTTGGCCCAGCCTTTTGCTGACCGGTACACGTTGTGCATACAGGAATGTAAAATTGCCGATTGTTGGAGAAATGCCAGTATTACATCACTGCCAACGAAAGATTATGATAAATACTGCCTAATTGCTTGTACCTCAGTAAATCTGAAGGTCTTTGAGCAGATTATTCTTGAAAGGATGATGACCCAAACTCTGTTTCAGTTTGCTTATCGTAAACTGGGATCTACTGGAAATGCACTAGCCTATCTTATACATTCAGTGCTGTTGTCATTGGACAATAAGATCAAATCCGGACGAGTATTTTTACTTGACTACAAACAATACTCGACAGTGTAAACCATGTGCTTCTTTTGAGACTCCTATGTGATGCCGGAATTCAACCATCCACCGTTCACCTGATGAGGGACTGTTTCTCTGGACGTGCCCAGTTTATTCGACTTAGGGGAAGAGGTTCCTTGCTACTCACCACAGCCACCGGGGTTCTTCAAGGAGTCTTACTGTCACCATGCCATTATTGTTAATTAAATCGCCTCATTGTTCCTTCCTGACGAAGCAATAGCGCAGAAATATGCAGGCGACGTGATCTTAAGTATCCAGAAAATGACCTCCGCCTCTTCAGTCAAGCTACAAGCCTATGCAGTGACGTTCCTTTTTCCCTTCACAATGACCGTCATTATAAGCAACTTCTAATGGATCGCCCTGAAGTTCACATAGATGGTGAGCGGTTGCACTCCACCGAGTCTGTGAAGTATCTAGGTGTTACACTCAGCCGTGATCTATCATGGTCACTACATGTGAATGAAGTTTTTACAAAAGTGAGGAAGCTTTCCTTTTACGCTGCTCGTTTAAGATCATCCTCTGTCCCCCGCTACCCAATAGCGCGGTTTATCACCGCTTGTGGCTTACCTCATTAGAGTTATTGCTCCCCTGTGACATCCCCGGTTTCCTAAAGAAGCCTTTCAAAATCCTAGTTTGGTCATTAGCACAATGGTCTCGATGTAGCGGTATTCTAATGCCGAGCTTTGTTGACATTATTGTGTCTAGTTATTCCAGTTTATGCAGAAGACTTGCTTCCAAAATACTCGCTGTTGCAACTCAC